AGACGGGAACATCTGCACTTTACCACTGCTGGTGAGCACAATGGATCAAAACACATCAAATATGTTTAAGTCCGAGTTCATAACGATGTTAAGACTAATGACAAAAAAACCTCACTGGTCAGTTTTTAAAAAATCAATTATTTTGAAAATTAGTAAATAAAGGCAGAGATGGAACATTTATCCTGCCTTTTTATACAAACTGTATCTGTGAACAGCAAAATAGCTGATAATAGGAAGAGTCTCTCTAAAGAAAGACGAAATGATGATAGAATTATAGTACCATTCTTTTGTAACTTCTTACAGAATAATGCATCTAGGTAGTGATCATCGACGGCTGTGAATATCCCCAGAAGAGAAACCACCAGACACAACGTGCCCCCTGAAGGAAGAGCACACCTCCCCCTGCAAGGTGGCCTTGCTACTCCCCACCGCCATGTAACTAACTCCTTCGCACCTAACTACCAGGTCTTGGCAAATGCATCTTAACACATTGAGCAACACCAGTGAGCAGCATCCAGACCATGAGAAACTACAGGACAACAACCCAGTTTCTGCAATAAATAAAAGGCAGGGTTAGAGAAGATGAGAAAAAAAGAGAGCACGAGCACACCAGAGCGTAAAGATTCAAACAGACTTAAAAGACACATCAACCAAGATAATTAAGGAAATTGGATATTTTATGATATTAAGAAATTATTCATTTGACAATACTATGGTTATGTTGAATTATTTTTAAAGTACTCATCTTTTAGAGACACATATCGAACTATTTATAGATGAAATATGACAGATAGGCATTTTCAAAATTCAAAAAACAATACTTATCACCTAAAGACCCACAATCCTCAAAATCAGCCCCCCTTTACTACTTCTAAAACACAGCCGGGACTTACCATGCAGACCAGTCTGTTCTCCTGGGTCTCCTTCTCAAAGGAGACCTCTGCGGCCTCCTCGCCCCCTGCAAGTCTCTCCCCAACGTCACCGCTGATGCGCATCACCTCCACGTGCAGCCGACCTGCCACCTGGAGCAAGGGGGAAGGCAGAAACTTTGGTCCAGACTGGGTTCAAACAGCAGATGACCTCTCTGCTGTTCCAGAGTCAAGTCGTGAGGTTAATGGCAGATGAGGATTTAGAAGCCTAGTTTCTAGCATTTACTCTCCCGTCTAAGCACCTGGAATAGGCCGGGCGCGGTGGCTCACGCCTGTAATCCTAGCACTCTGGGAGGCCGAGGCGGGCGGATCGTTTGAGCTCAGGAGTTCAAGACCAGCCTGAGCAAGAGCGAGACCCCCTACCTCTACTAAAAAAATAGAAAGAAATTGGCTGGACAACTAAAAATGTATATATAAAAAAAAAAAAATTAGCCGGGCATGGTGGTGCATGCCTGTAGTCCCAGCTACTCAGGAGGCTGAGGCAGTAGGATCGCTTGAGCCCAGGAGTTTGAGGTTGCTGTGAGCTAGGCTGACACCCCGGCACTCACTCTAGCCCAGGCAACAGAGTGAGACTCTGTCTCAAAAAAAAAAAAAAAAAAAAAAATAAGTACCTGGAATAACCACCACAAAGCCCTGTGGAAACACGAGGTATCGATAATACACATACGCATCATCTGTCGTTACTGATAGAAAACAGTAACAGCAATATACTGTCACCGCCCTACTGTTTCTGGAACTGTCCTCTGCAGGAAATGAGGCAGGAAGAGACCAACCTCTCCTTTCTGGTTGACGATAGGGACGGCGTATTGTAACTTGACATCATAGAAAAGGGACTCGAGGAAGACATTGGCCACCCCAATGAGACTGTGGTTTTCCTGCTCGTCGTAGAACGGATCAGCACGCTTGAAGTAAGACCGTATTACCTGTAAGGAGAGTCGGAGCGTGCAACTTCAGGAAAATCGTTTACAATGAATGCATTCGACCTACTGCTTTTTGATGTATTCTAAGTAATTAAACTTCACTTTCATTATCCCAACTCTTGTAGTCTTTAGAACTTTTTTCTAAAATACAGAAAAAAATTAGAAAAAATTCTAGATTTTTTTATTAAAGAAAATAAAGTTTTTGCTGAAGTACAGCACTGATTCGTCACACATACAGGCGTCCTCATTCCCACGCAGAAGAGCAGTCAGCGAGCGCCCTGTACCCTGACAGCACGATCCCAGTGACAGGTCATTACTTACAGCATTTCTTCTCCTTTCCTTGGAAATCTTGCCACGAAATAATGAAACAATATATATATAAACTAGAAAAAGAAGGAGAACGTACTAAACTACACTTCATTTTTCTTCATTTAGGGAAGAGGGTCATTCGTAGCTTTCCATTTGTTCCTACCAAATCATAGGCCACACTGCTGCTAATAAAAGGTGAGCCCCTCAGAGGAGGGTGGCAGGTTTTTTTGGTATTTTTCATTGTTTTATTTTTAAGTTGAAATAGAGGAATTTAGTAAGAAAACGAAAAAAATTTAAAGCAAAGATGTCACCTAAGACATCATTTTTATTGATGACAATCTGGAAAAAAAAACATTTTTACAAAACAAGAGACTAAGGAAATAAACAACTTTGCAGAAACAGGACCAGCAGTATTGAAATCATGTAAAAACACATATAATACATATTTCTATCTTAAATACATGCAAGTACATGGCTGGAATGAATGAGAAAACCCGCAACTTGAGGAGAGAGTGCTAGCACCTAGGTCTACGGCACCTACAGTAGGATCAAAGCTCCTTCTCAAAAATGTTCTTAATAGTGTAAATATTGAAGTACCGCTGATGTTCAATTTAAAAACATATATTGTAGGTTTAACTATCTGCAAGGTTAACGGGGTTGAGAAATGGGAAGGGAGAGGAGGCCTGGCCCCTGTCCTAAGGTGGTTCCCACAGCAGCATGAGGGACAAGTGCCAGCAGAAGTCAGAGTGGAAAGTGGAGAGCTCTGCTGGAAATCCAAAAGACAAAAATGAGAAGAAAAAAGAGATAATCAGACAGGCTATTAAAATTCCTAATTTGCTAAACAAGTTAGAGGACTAAAATAAATTTTACTCTAGGTAGAGTATTACAGTTTTGGAAAAAGAACAACTGTCCCCCGGAATGGCTAGGCTCATTCCAGGCTGGTACCTTCTATGACTACTGGTTAAGTGATTTTTAAAAAATAACTTACCGGGGTATCTTCTTCACACTCTTTCCACTCCTGATAAAGGTCTCTCATATCCAATAACCTGTTGTCCAGTTTTTCCAAAGACCAAATCTGCTTCCCTTTTCCTTTTCTTCTCACCTGGATGGCAGGTTCACTGAGAAGAGAACCTCGCTGCAAAGACAGCAAGAGTGACCGGGTCACAACGAGGCCGGCTACCCACGCGGGAGGTCAGAGCAGGACATTCCAGACCCGCCAGGCAAATGTCGTCACACCAAAACTCAAACAGCCATCATTCTTTAATCTGTTGATTACTTAAGTATAAGCTTACATTTAAAGTTTGACTGCAGCTGGATATAAATTTAAATTTAAAACCCAAAAGACTAGACCATGTTTAATGGAAAGTCAAAATAAAAATGTTTTATTCGGGCTCTCATACAACCACAGAGATCAAGGACAGATAGAATCCTAAGCACTGAATAGCAAGGGAAAGTTTGTGGGGTGTTGGGGAGGAAACTATCTTTTACCTTTCAAAAGTGCAAATTTTTAATTCTTTTTGAATGGCTGGTATCTTCGTTAGGGTACAAAACATGAAATGCTTAAAAGAATAAACTGAAAAGTGTCCCATTTACCCATTTTAAAGCAACGAATGATACCAGTTTCCAAATATACATAGTTTGAACTTATTATTAAATGAGTAAAGAACTAGACAGAGGTGGTGGCTGCACAACACTGGGAAAGTACTAACTTGGTAGAATTGGTCACTTTAAAATAACAATGTTATATTATGCAAATTTCACCTAAAATAGCATGCATGAAAGTTTTTCCAGCTTATAAAAGCCCTGTGTTTTTAATGTAGAAAAATGTAGACCCTTTTTAAAGCCATGAAGTAGGAAAAACATCCCCTATGCATCTCCCCCAGAGAGATCTATGAGTTATTTAATCAATTTATATTTACTGGCTTAATTTATCAACTGTTCTGCTATGTACACTTAGAAATTAAGAGAACTGTGAAACCACCACTGTTTCATTAACATCTTGTCTACAATCATTTCCAAAGAAACACAATTTTCATAATGCAAACAAAGATTTCAAGGTTTTTTTGGAGAAAGAATCTCGCCCTGTTGCCACAGCTGGAGTGCAGTGGTGTCATCGTAGCTCACAGCAACCTCAAACTCCTGGGCTCAGGGGATCCTCCTGCCTCAGCCTCCCAAGTGGCTGCTACTACAGGTACGCACCACCATGCCTCTTTCTGAGAGGTTAGAAGAGACTTCTTGGAAATAATTTAAACAGATTTGAAGAGAGGGAGTGGAGTGAAATGAATTGGTAGGGCCAGGAGGGGAGGTGGAGAGTATATTCTCCCAGTGGATAAAACACATATGCACAAAGGCAGAGAATTAAAAGGCGATAAATTCTACTTGAGTGAGGAGGAGAAAGGATCTAGACTCACGGGGTACAAACAGCGATCTGAGGGCAAACCCACTGCGGCTTAAATCACACCGGGGAAACATAAGGCCATTTTATCCGACGAGATCTTTTTTAGCCAATGAATGGCAACCTCACCTTCCTGTTGGCATCCAGGCTCGAGGCTGGAATCTGTAGGGTAACTTTATACTCTGTTCTTTTATCCAGCTCCTCTGCAATGTAACTAGCTTCTCGCACCAGCAGGTTGGCTTTGACAATTTGTTCCCTCAGCCGCATCAGGCTGTTATTCAATGTTGCTTCTCTTTTTAAAAAAAAAAAAACAAAAACAAAAAGGCAGGGTGGGAGGTAGGGAGGAGGTAACACAGAAAGCAGCACGTCAGAAAACCGCACAGTAATAATATGCTAATGCCAAAGGTTGAACCAAGCTTTCCAACTGCTTGTGCACACAGGGAACGTTACCGACGCTGACCCATGCACACGCTTGTACCCGGCTGCACGTAAGCACCGTCACACACATATGCGGCGAGCTGCCCGCAGATAAGGGTAGGGCTTTGCAAACCTGTGTACGCAAATCACCTGGGGATGCTGAAAAACTCAAGATTTTGACTCAAAATCAGGCGGAGGCCTGAAACCCTACAGTTCTATCAATCACAGGTGACAGGGACGCTGCCCGCCTGCAGACCAAACTTTGAACAGCATGAGGTTAGTGAAGTACAGTCTGCAACCACGGAATAGGCATTTTAATGCAATGCTAATTAGAGTTCAAACTTGCAATTTGCATCTCATCAGCACCATGCTTTACCTACCTCAGCTAATCAGTCCAGATAACCAACTTTCTTTTCCTTTTTTTTTTTTTAAAAGCATCTACCCACGCTTCAGAACCTAAAGCATAATACAATGATAAAGTATACTCCTTTATTCAAACCCAAAAGCCATACAAACTGAAACGGGGTAGGACCTAACATGGGCAGCTTTAAATAAAGCAACATAAATTGGCAATTCCCATTTTTTCAACAATGAAAAAAATAAAATGAGGTGGTTCTTGGCTGTAACAATTTTTTTCGTTTTTTTTTGAGAGAGGATCTCACTCTGTCCCCCAGGCTGGAGTGCAGTGGCGTGATCGCAGCTCACTGTAGCCTTGAACTCCTGGGCTCAAGAGATCCTCCTGCCTCAGCCTCCCAAAGTGCAGGGATTACAGGTGTGAGACACATTCCCAGCCAACGCTCTCCTTTAATGCAATTCTTTTCCATGAACCATCTCAATGTTCCCCTTTGGTACTGTCCCTCCAGCGTCAAAGGTGGCTGACATGAGCTATACCATGACCTCTTGTGCCGCCTACCTCTCCTCAGCCCACTGCCGCAGGCGCTGCTGAGCGCTGGGCGACTGCAAGGAAAAGCGGTCCCCGCTGCGGCAGTTCTGCTTCTCGGGAGATAGCCGCCTCCGGAGCTGCTCCAGCTCGTGTTCGTACATGAGCCTCTGGCGCTCTAGTGCAGACCGTTTCTCTTCTTCGTGCTGCTGTTCTAGGCTATTCAGTATCGACTGCATTGGATCTAAACACATTCGTTAAAAAATAAATAAATAATGAACAAAAGGTAAGATACGATAAACTTCAAATGCTGTTCTCTGTGGTTATGCTGTTTGCCGTCCTAACCGCACCACCTAACTAACACCATTAAAGGCAATCTGGAATAAACTTCACTGTCCTTACTTCCGATTACTTACGTTGTTAACCTATCCCCAGCTGGATATTATTGTATCTATTATATGTTCTACACATAACCTAAGATGTGGTCAATCCTCCGGGAATACTTTGTAATAATAAGCCAGTCAAGCTTCAAACCAGAGAAATTCTATCAATGAGAACAAAGTGAGTTGACTGTATATCGAGATGCAAAGTTTTTATAAATACAATAACGCCAAAGAGACAAAATAATAGGGTATAGAGAAAAACAACATAAAGATTGTCTTTTCTGCTGACATTTAAAAGGTCTCCATCGTAAAAATTTTCGACACTCTACCAACTTTAAGGGATTCTCAAATGCACAACAGCTTTTCTCACCGTTACTGCCCAGGGCCTTCATGGTCACCTCCATCTGGGCGTATTCGTAATTGAAGTTGATTTCACTGGACACCTCACTGGAGGAGTCTCCGTCTACATCTAGCTGCTCGGAACTGCTGTCGTTCTTCCCGGAGGTGTCCTGTTCCTCATCCTCTCGCTCTGCTTTCTTTTTCTTTTTAGGCAAATTGAGTCTTGGGGGGAAAAAAGGAGTATTACTTTTAAAATCAAGATAGGCACTTATTCATTCCATTCATTAAATACTGGCAATTTGCTAGAAGCCAAGTGGATACCACGGAAGCACAAGGCCATTACTGCAGTCAGGCAGTTCATAGTGTAGCAGAAGTAGAACACTCACAATTGTGTGCACTCACACAATTACGACAGAAAGCGCAACACCAGGCCACACAACTCTCGCAAGCCAGGTGCTAAGGAAAGTCTAAGGACCGTTTCACAGTGAAGTAATGAAGCTATGAAGACTGGGAAATCGTTTGAGCTGAGTCTTAAAGGATAAAGCAGAAAGTTCGGGCAGAGGGAGCATCATGAGAAAAGATGTGAAAATGGTAACGTTCATATTCCCTGGAGAAACTATGAGCGAAACAACAGAGATACACAAAATTTGTACAGCACAAGTTGAAAGATAAAGCTGGAAATCAACTTCATGCAAACTATGCAGGTTTTGAATAATAAGCCAAGCAATTTGCACTTGATTTAGTTTGGGAAGGAAAAAAATTCTCCATGCTCTCTGTACCCACTGCACTTTTCTCAATACCTAAAATACCAACTGGCCCCAACAAAGGAAACCTATTAGCTCTAGGAAACATTGGCTTGACATCTAAAGCACACTGACCAGCAACAGGAAGAGGAGACCAGAATTTTACTTTCATACAAGATCCAGCCTGCTGTCCTTGCCAACACAACACCAATTGGTTGGAAAACAATGTCCTGACCAATAGTACAGTCAGGGCTAGCATGGCCACCACTGTCCTCCTTTCAATTCTTGTGCCTGAATACGCTTTGATGGCTGGAGTGGGAAGGCTATCTTTCGGCCACAGGGAAATGCCATGACAGTGACCAGACTACAGCCATGACATTTGTGAGAGGCTTAGCCAATATTAACAACCATCTTCTTTCAGATTTCTACTTCTGTCAGGGAAATAAACAATCTGTTTAAACCATCACAGTCAAATTTGCCATTACTTGCAGCTGAAAGCATTCCTAAAAAGAAATACCAACCTTATTTTACAGATAAGGAAACTAAGATCACAACTATTTTTCAGTAAAAAATAAATAAAAAGAACATATCAGAAAAAAATTAATGAATTCTTATACTACATGCAAAAACAATCATCTTCCATTGGGAAATAAAAAGGAAAAAATGTGAAACCCAGTATTTTTCCTGAGTGTACTGTTCATATATCTTTAGGGTTCAGACCATATATATAATGAACACATGCATACATAAAATACACATATCAAATATATATACACAAAAAACAGCGTATAATTTTTATGGAGTTTACTTTCAATACATATTCTCTATTTCAGAACATAATCTTCAATAATAACCCTCTTTAAGGGACATGAACAACGTCATACCTGAAGAAATGGTTGTTTCCCCATAATATCCTGTCCCCATGGTGCAGCTGTGTCAGACTAGAGACAGAAGATCCATTTACAAATGTTCTGTAAGAGATCAAACATGAATGATTATAGCATCATTTCTTCTACTTTAATTTTCTAATACTATAAAGATCTAGTTACTAGGAAAAACAAAATAATTAATTCCCCAAAACAAAATCTGCCCTTGGTGAATTTTAATATTTGTATTTACTTCTTTGCTTATTTACCTAAAATGTTTATGGTATTAAATACAAACATACATCGTTTTATTGTGCTTCACTTTATTGTACTTTGCAGGGTGGAGTGCAGTGGTGTCATCATAGCTCACTGTAACCTCAAATTCCTGGGCTCAAGCGATCCTCCTGCCTTAGCCTCCCAAGTAGCTGGGACTACAGGCGCATGCTATGACGCCTGGCTAATTTTTCTATTTTTAGTAGAAAAGGGGTCTTGCTCCTGCTCAGGCTGGTCTCCAACTCCTGACCTCAAGTGATCCTCCCGCCTTGGCCTCCCAGAGCGCTAGGATTACAGGCGTGAGCCATCACACCCAGCCAGATACTGCATTTTTTACAAATTGAAGCTTTGTAGCTGCCCTGTGTTAAGCAAGCCTATTGCACCATTTTTTCAACAGCATGTGCTCACTCTCCATCACACTTTGGTAATTCTCACAATATGTCAAACTTTTTTTATTATATCTGTTATGGTGAGATCTGTGATCAGTGACCTTTGATGCTACTGTTGTAATTGTTTTGAGGTACCATGAACCACACCAACATAAGGTGGTGGACTCAATCAATTTGGTATGTGTTCTGACTGCTCCACTGCCCAGCCATTCCATCATCTCTTCCCCCTTCCCAGGCCTCCCTATTCCCTAAGATACAACAATATGGAACCAGGCCAATGAACGACTACAGTAACCTCTAAGTGTTCAAGTCAAAGGAAGAATTAGGCATCTCTCATTTTAAATCCAAAGGTATTCTCAGTTAAGGTTAGGGAGGAAGGCATGCTGAAAGTCAAGATGGGCTGAAAGCTGGGCCTCTTCCGCCAAACAGCCGAATTATAAATGCAAAGGAAAAGTTCTTGAAGGAAATCAAAAGTGCTACTTCGGTGAACATATGAATGATAAGACAGTGAAACAGCCTTATTGCTGATATGGAGAAAGTTCTTGTGGTCTGGATAGATCGAGGCAGCCACAGCACTCTCTTAAGCCAAAGCCTAACTCAGAGCAAGGTCCTAACTCTCTTCAATTCTTTGATGGCTGAGAGAGGCAAGGAAAATGCAGAGGTATTTCAAATAACCTTATCTACGGGGAGGAGAGCACCAGAATGAGAATTATGTTGTAGCTGGTAGAAAGGCAGCGGTCACACACTGCCACCAAGAGAGGGGGTTGGTGTCATGTGGGTGGCACAGTGACCATGTTTTCATTTGTGCTTAAATGAAATGACGATTGGCCTGCTTTGTCTTATTTACCACAGTCTCAGAGCACCCTTGCCTGAGGTGGCCTTGTGTGCGATGACTTATGGCTCATGAGAGGACAGCACGAGGGCCGGGCCGGCGTGTGCTGCTTTTTTCTTTCTCACTTGATCCTTCACCAGGAATTTGACAGCTTCCCAATACAAAAGACTTTATGGATGAAATCAGTGATGATATTACTTTTTGATAGCATATAATGAAACAGATTAACATTTGGGAGATCAATATAATTTAGTTACCGTCGTCTATGACGGTTACAGACTGTCCTACGTCCAGCGCTATCACAGGGAAGGAAACAAAGTGATGCCTCTTCATTCACGGTTTACCGAGTACCTGTGTGCTAGTCTTATGTCACCTGCTACAGAGAACTCAAGAAAAGGCGCTTGAGCTCAGGGAGCCCACAGTGCAACGGGGTAACAGCGGTCAACAGCTGACAAGAACACACCACGAAGCACTCATGGCACAGGAAGCACAGAGCGCGTGGGGTATGATATTGACACATACCGAGGCCACTTCATCTAGACCAACGGGGACCTGTTCATCGCAGACAATGGCAGAGCCTATCCTTACAGGTCAGGTGGGAGTCGGCAGCCAAAGGCGCGGCAGACGCACAGGAGCAGGAGGTCCACAGGAGGGGGGGAAGGGATTTTCCACCAAAAACAGAAGTAAGTCTTCTGGGGTGTGGTGAGTGGGCCAGGAAGAAGTTTAGGGTATCGGCGGAGGTTCCGTGGTTGTGGATACAAGGGAGGAGGGATGGGTGTGGGAGATATTGAAAAGTCTAATATAACTAACTGGATATTTTAATTGAATGAACTTAAAAATAAAAGCTAACGAAGGCCAAATGTCCCTCATGCTGCCCACAAGTAGTGTACTTTCTTCCTCCTAAAAATTGCTATGCCATTAACACTAGTTCAAGTACGTTACCTGGTATTCTTCTGGGGAGTCAGCATAACCTGGCCTTCTGGAGTGATGTCTATAATACAATGTTCTGGAAGAATTCCCATTCCACACAGTTGGATATCTTGGGAATTTGCTGACCCTATCAATGTATGTTCCTAAGAAAGAATCAAATTCACTGATTAATATTGTGTTCTTACATGTACACAAACTGAAGTCAACTACACTGAGCCCTCTTACATTAATCTATCACCTTAGCTAAAAGATTTTTAAGGAGGAAATGGACTGGTAAGGGAAGTCCTTGGCTTTCTCTGAAGTTCAGTCTGTAATTCATAGTTTCTTATAAGAAATAATGTACTCGGTTGAGTTATACCTTTTAAACTTAAAGCTATAATTTTATATTCATGGCTATATATATCTATTATTTACCATCACAATATTCATTCCAAATATTTTATACTATTCTCAGAGCATAAGCCATGTGTCAGTGATGTACCAAAAATACTGGTCTAAAAACTCCATTTACTTAAGTTGCACATAACTTACCTGGTCTCGAACAAAATGAGTCAGCTACAAAGATAAGAGCTATTCAAATATAAAGAGTTTGAAAAGATAAAAATTATTTTATGAATTTCGTGGTCTCCCCTAGCCTCATAAAAGATGTAACAGATATGTTCTTACCTTAGACCCCCAACTACTCCGTTCTCTAAGCCCATCTTTTTGGGAGGTAACTCGCCTATCCTTAATGAAGAAAATTGGCACCATAAAAATTGAGCTCTGTCTAATGCATGTCAATATTTGACTACCTGTGCATGATTAAATGTCAATATGACTAGGATGTGTTTCCAGGCCACCTTCTCTTTTGACACACCTACATTAGGGGTCAGATATTAAATACTTTAGGCTTCACGAGTCATACACAAGCATTCAACTCTGCCCTTGTAGTGCGAAAGCACACAGAGAATACCGAAGTGTGTAATTGTGGCTAAATTCCAATAAATTTATTTATGAACATTGAAACTTGGATTTCATATAACTTTCATGTGTCTGAAATATTCTTCCAACACGTAAGACAATCATAAACCATGTAAGATTTACAGACCATGTAAAAATGTAAAGATAAGCTCTTCCTATTATACTGTAAGTACTGCAATAAAAATACCAACGAGGGAAAAAAAAGAAACATCACAAGTCGGTATAGCAGATTATCTAATGAGTACCTAAATGCTGTGAAGGTAGCATGTAATGAAAATAAATAAAGTTACAAACAGGGACAGCATCTCAGTGTGTTTATGTGATACCTGGGTATGTGAGTCTGAAGCATGCTAGTCCCAAGGGTTCCAGGATTATGTTCTGGAAGAGTAAGAGAACCGTACCACTTGGAATTAGAAAAGAACTTCAGGGATGTTTTAATCCAGGACCTTCATTTACAGATGGGGTGTAAGTCATCCGGGGATGTGAAGTCACCTGCCTAGCATCTATTAACAAATTGTCTTCAGAATCTGAAGACAAAGAAATAAAAAACGCTCAGCCTCCAAATTCCTCCATCCCACACGATGGTATCACTTTACTGAAGCAAAAACTGTTCTTGGACTGAGATCATCCTTCTGAATGTGCTTTGTCATGAATATATCCTTGTCATGGGGTTAGCTCGGGCAGTCAAGAAATCCACACTGCCTCCAACTCTGCCAAGAGAGTTGACCGCACGGTCTCAAAAAGAACCCAAACACCTCCACATGAGATGACCAGAAATATTTTGACTACTCTCCAAAAAGCTTTAAATAGTTTCTTTGTTTAATTTTTAGTCAAGAACAGATATGAATCAGGGTTTTTCTTGGTGTGTGTGTCTGTGTGTTCCAATTTGAACTACATTACATCAGAAAGAAAAAGAACTCCTGGTTCTGAGAAATAAAAAGGACAGGATAGGTAAGTCCTGTTCTAACACTGCACCTCTCCAGCATGTGAGTATCTCTGGCTGATACCGTAACTCAAAATCCTACCAACACTGTTCAGAAGCGCAGTGAAGTGATAACACATCATTTTTAATCGGCAATACGCATATTAAATCCCACATAGGGCATCAAATGAGAAAGTGCAATGTGCAATGTTGTATGTTTGTTTTATATTTGTACAGTGCTTCTGTTTATGAAGTGCTTCCATCTATCCAATCCTAACAGGTACCCGGCAAGGCAGCCAGAGATAACTTCCTCTCATTTACACAGGGAGAACCTACAGATTGGACTGGGAGAGGGCTTGGCGGTGGACCAGAAAAACAGGTCACCTCCCTCCTACTGCAGCCTTGCTCCTCCTAGACCTAATATCTGGGACGTACACACGTCACTGTATGTACCAAAGACCCAGCATAACTCACAGTGATACAAAACACGGTATAAGATCCTTATTAACAAAAGGGCCTTATCAAGATGACACAAAGCAACTAGCCCAGGACATCTTGATAAAAACTGAGAAACTAGCCGTGTCATGAATTCTTGAGTCTTTTTGCACATGAAATCACACAACTCTCTAATCTTAAAGCTGTTTCCAACTTAATCAGCTCATTAGCTTTACTTTCCTAGTCACGTGAGTTAAATCCACATATATAAGGGGAAAGACACTGCGTCCCAGCATTTATTAACTGCATGTTAGAGTCGTATAGTCCGTTTGGAGCACTCCTCGTAATTTATGCAGTGTCTTGGGGCTCGTGCTTATTCTAAAAGTTGTCCCCTATCTTCCCAGTATGTCCCAGGATTTACAGATTTCAACATGTACCAATGTTTGCCTTTTCCTCCATGCTCTGACCCTCTCAGTCTCTAAAAGACCTACTCTCCCTTTTTTTTAATAGACTGACAGTCCAAATTTTTTTATTTTCCTAGAGTACTAGAAATTTAAATTTCATATCAAGTGGTACTAAGATTTTACTTTCTTTAAACATTTCCTCTTACACAAGCTAACAAACTGCTCACAAAAAGATATGCTTCACATAGACGACAAAAGCTTTAGTCTGACTATATGAATCACTTAGTCTTAAAAGTCATCCTTTAAGCTTTAAAGTAATCTACTTAATTCCCTGGTATAAATCACATTAAACAATGGTAGGTGAGTTATTTAACTTGTTGAAAGCAATACTGGAATATCACTTTTTATATCACTAGGTTGAATGACATCACCCAAAGACTAAAAAGGGAAACTGAGTCAAGAAATCCAGGACTGTTCTCCATTCCAGCTTATTCAAAGGAAAACAATTTGCTATTTTTTTAGTAAGCATGGTCCCTCGAGTTTAAAAAAGTACTGTGAAATACTGTTCTATTTCACGGCAGGGAACGAGCAGCAGAGCACACGACCCCACCTTGAGATAGTACACCAGGAGTTCGTTCAGCGCAGGGTCAGCGTTCAGGTTCACCAGGAAACACTTGTCATCCCCAACTTTGATTCCGGAAGACTGCAGAGATATTCCAAGGCTCTCGAGCTGTTTCTGTCTCTCCTGTAAATGTATTAAAGTAGTTAATTCCACAGCTATTGAGGCAGCAAGATACAAAAGATCTTACAACATCAGAGTAATTACTCAATAGCTTTATAGTTCAAATATGCTCTCTTTGGATATGGCATTATAGATTACTGCATTTTTCTCTTCTTTCTAAACTATATAAAATTGTTTTTGGTTAATTCAAATTTTATTTTGAAAAATAAAACCCATTACAAATAGCAACCAAGTATACTAGTAAGTTCTCGATTTTTGTTCTTGAAAATATCCAACATCTTGAAGTCATCTCACTTGGCTCTGGATATCTGAGCAAATGTACATGCGCTTGACCCAACTGGGATCCTTCTACAAGGCGGTTTTTAATTCACTCTCCTGTTTGCCACCTTCGGTGACACCCCCAGTCAGGACAGAGGCCAAACTCCCCCAATAAAGTTCAGAAGGCCCTCTAGCCTGGCCCATTTCCCCTCAGGAAGGCAAGGCACGGAAGGTGGTATTGGATAAAACAGGCAGCGCCCTCCAAAGGGACACCTGAGGGAGGAAGAGAAAAGACACCAAAACCAAGCTCCCCAAGCACCACTATGGCTCACACCTACCTTGCTTTGCATCAGCTCAGCAACACTTCAGTGTTTACTCTAGAGTAGCTCAAAACAGCTCACAGCAAGTAGTCCCAAACTGGACAATTATTAATATTACAGTGACCAGTAATTTATAAGAAATATAACCTGATACATGTGATGAGGAATAATTTATACACTGATGTGTTTTCTTCTCTGTAATCTGGGGGATATGTTTTAAGATAAGCCAACGCAGGGATTCAGATAAAACAAGACCGGGCACGTGTTGATCTTTAACGAAACCAGGTGATAGGTATCTGTAGATTTATTACACTCTAATTGTTCTCTATTTTGAAAATGTCCATAATAAAAATGTTTTTAAGATTGAATTTAATCCTAGTCTGCACTAATATAACATCTGCTTTCTGCTAAGTAATAGTACCATCCTACAACGTCTGACACAGAGACAGACGGATTCTGGACAGCACATTTCAAAAGGGAAACCCACTGGGTGACAAAAGATGTAGCAAGTTCCATATATTCTCTAGTATGAGGAACAGTTAAAAAACACAAGGGAATTTTAACTTAGAAAAGGAAGGGGAAGAGGCAGAGGGGTGGATTTAAACAGCTGAACAACTGAACTGAGTAACAGTCCCAGTCATGGAAGGCTATTGGAGGATTCCATAAAACACTGTAGCTAAGAGTGCTTAGCCTAGGGCCCAATACAGAAGTGTACCCAATAAATGTTGGCTGTTATTGTTATCTTTAGTTCCTCCATACAGGTGGGACACTTATTCTCTTCAATATAGAAGAACAAATTAGGGCCAATGAGTAAAAATGAAAGAATAAGAGATTGATTAAATAGCTACTATTAGAGCTGTCCAATCACAAAAAGACTGCCAGGTGGCTACCGAGCTCCACAATGCCACATGTATGTCTAAAACTGAGGCTGGATAACTATGTGACAGAAAAGCCACAGAGTAAATCTTTTTTTAAGTAGACAGACCTTTTAAGCATTTTCTCCCAAGGCTAACTTGGACTAGATCATCCTAGACTAATGCTCATGTTCCCACCCTAAGATGTCACAACTCTACCATTATTATTAGAAAACAATGAGAGTCACTTCGGATTTAGGTATTTCAAATTACTTTCACTGAGTTGTCACATGGATGCAAGAAGCTCATAGCCTAATATCTACCACTAGTAATTTTGTAATTTC